AATTTGATACGATTCAAACTGTAAAATAAAAATTTTAATTATATTAAAAAAAATAAAAACAAATTCACTGGAATTAAAGGGATTTGGATCGGTTTAGTCCCCTCTATTTCTCTCATTTAATAAGTTTTTATTCAAACAAAAAGGAAGGAGTTGTGTCCAGGGATGTCAACGGGTCTCACGGGATTGGGGAGTCCCTCTCCGTTCTCATCCCCGCGAGTCACAGGGGTGGGACTGGGGAGTCTCTCCCTGCCCTCGTCCCCGCGAGTCACAGGGGCAGGATCCTGTGGGGATTTTTTGCGGGCTAGATTTTGCCCCCCCGCCCCTGTTCCCACCAATTAATCTCATCAACAACACCACCCGACTTATCTACCAAACAAGAGATCATATTTCAAATAGAAGCATTCATTCATTTTTCGACCAATCAATTCATTTACCAGACACAAACAAAGATATCCAAGACATAGGCATATAGCATTCCGATCCACTAAGATTTTATGAAGAATAAAGGAAATAACGACAAAGAAGCGCCCAAATCTTCTAGTATCTATGCTTTGCCAAAGTTACTTAAATTCCAATTTGTTACACAGTTTGGTTGCTAAGAAAGCTAAAGAAAAAGGGAAGAAATTTGGATTCAAGTTTAGAAAATCTTGAAAAGTTCAAACATTTTACTAGAAGAATCGAAGAAATGTAACATTGATGGCACTAAGAGAGTTGATTACTCCAACATAATCAAAAGGAGAATCAATAAAACGAAAAGGCTTGCTTTCTTTTCTTTTCCGCAAGTTTCTCTCCAACCAAACAGAGCATTAAACAAACACATTAATAAAAAATCAAAAACCTTTAAGATTAAATGTTAAACTCCAAGAACAGGAAGAAAACCAGATTTTGGGGAAATGAAATCTATGGAGCTTTGCAAGAATCTTTGAGGTGGCGATCCACAGAGAAGAAGGAGGCAGAGGAGGAACCATGGCCGATGGAAGCTGCGGAGGAGGAACCACGGCCGATGGAAGCCGGAGAGGACACGACGTATCAAAGAACAATGGCTGTGATTTGGCGATCTCAACTCAAAGAACTTGAAGAACACGGCATATCAAGGCCTGAGTCTCCCCATTACCAGCGTTCTCAACTTGAAGAACGCCTGCAAGGATCTTCATGCACTTGTGCGTCACAAGAGCACGAATCTGGTGCACCACACTCCAGCTTCCGTTCACCATCCCAACCTTCCTCCTCGTTTTACCTCCCTTCTTCTCGCCTTTGGCCATTTTCTTCTGCGGTGCCTTCCTGCCATGGATCGAACCTGGTGTAGGAATCTTCACACTGTAATCAAGAGACAGCAAAATGTCACCTTCTAGAAGTAGGGAGAGGAGGATGCCAGTTTGAGACTTGAAGCCGATTGTCAAGCCGTTGGTGAAGAGGTGTTAACGAGTGCCGGAAGGGATAGGTTCAGGGACAGGAGAATGGGGCAGAAGGGAGAGGAAGGTTGAAGGTGAGAGTGAGTGAGGAGAGATAAGTTAAGGCTAGGGTTAAGAAGTCTGGGTTGGGCTAATTTTTATGGGCTGGGTTGGGTGGAATAAAATTGAGTTAAATTTAATTTTTATTGGATTGGGTTTAAATTTAAAAATTAAATTAAATTTAAAATAAATTTTTTTTTTATAAATTTTTCGCAGGGATGGGGATCCCCAGCGACCCTACAGAACGGGAAAAATTCTCTGTGAAATTTCACAAGGAAAAATGGCCTCCGTCCCCGCTTCGTGGAGAAGAATATTCCTCCCCGTCCCCGTGACGAGGATTTCCACGGAAATCGGGGCAAATTGCCATCCTAGTTGTGTCCCCCTCAGTGCCGTCTCTTTCCTTTCCAACTCCTTCAATTCAAACTCTCCCCAAGTGTTCCTTTCACCATTTTTGGTTATTTATAATTTATCCAATGGTTGAAAATGGGCTTTCATGCAATGGTTGGTGATTTGAAGGCTTGCACTCGAACATGGGGAAGGTCCTTCCATCCAGGTCTTTTGCAGAAACACCGGACTCATTTCTTTTATAGTCGAAGTGAGTGAAAAAGCTATTAAAAAACAGTCAACTAAAAAATTCAAATGATGTTCTAAAATTGCTCATTGATTTTCATTGAAACACAAAATGGTAATTTGCAGTTTTATTTATTCAGTTGATTACATGTTTACCAACATGCATCCATAAATAAAATTCTATGAACTCAAAAGAAATGGACAATTTATAACGCACATGCGCCAAAGAATCCTCGATCGGAAAGATCACAGCCGTTTAGGAGGATCCATTATCCATGGTCTCTAGCAGCACTAGCACCGTGGCAGGTCTGCCGGCGGATGGGGTAGAGTCTCGAGCTCTCCCACCCCATTCTTCACTATCAACACCGCACTTAATCCCCACGATTGGTGTACGTCAAGGTGACAGTGCATGAACCAAACCCCTGAAAAAAACATTGAAGCATACATTGCTGATTACATTACAACATCAAAACAATCAAACCCATAAATTTTATTTCAATGCAAATAATCAAATAAGCTTACCCGGATTGTCCGCAACAAACCGAATTGCTGCCCATCCGCCCACCGGAACTCCAATGGTGTTCATGTAAGGCGGATCCACTAGGTTGAAGTTCGCCGTTTGCGGGTTAAAGTTTCCGTTGCCAAATCCAACCACGTAGAAGCTGTAGCCATGAAGATGAATTGGGTGGTTTTCCGTGCTCACCGTCCCAGTGTCCTGGAAAATTATCTGAACTTTGCTTCCGTATTCTATGACCTTGGTCCTAGTCCCATTCAGAGCCTGTGTATTATTAGGGGCATTATTTGGTGCCCCATTGACAAAGTCATAGAATTGAAGGGGTGCCCCAGGGAAGTCCTCAGTGAATTGCCCTTCAATGTTCTTATAATAAGCTTCCAAAACCGAAATCGGAGGCTTTACGAAAGTGAAGTTGTTCATTGACGCCGCAAATGTCCCATTGTTCGGACCCTGGCAGTTCTGTTGCGGCGTCTTGGATTTGCATTTGTTAACGTTCAAACCGACGGTCACAAACAAAGTCATATCAATTTCTTTAGGAACATTGACTTGATCAAGGCTTCTGAGTCCGTCCATGACGGTCTTAACGGCAAAGTTGTCGTTGAACGTTGGTAATTTGGCCTGCAACGAGATGCTGTTGAGCACGGTGCCTAAGTAATTGAAGTATGCAACAGAGGAGATGTTTTGGAATGGGACGTTTTGAGCTGACATGTAGGGACCCATGGCCATGGAGTATTTACCGATCGGCTGATCGGCGGTCACAAGGACGTTGATGGTCTGCCCCGGTCCCAGCATCACACGGTCTGTGGTGAACGGCTTTGTGTACTCTGCATCTGCTTCCACAACTGTCATCTTGTGATTGGCTATGGCGAAGAAGTTCTCCATGTTTAAACCGGCGTTTATCAGCCTTAACATATACGTCTTGCCCGGAACCACATCAATCTTATACACATCTGAACCAATAATTACAACAAAAGATTACTTAATAATTGAAACATGATGATTAATTAATTAATGAATCTTGTTAGTTATCATTATTTATTATTTTAAGAGTACCATTGGATGAACAATTGTATTTGGGTCCAGGGTGGCCGTTGATGGTGAAGGCATCGGCGGGAGGAGGACCGCCGCCGCTGGCAAGGACCTGCTTCTCGAGCCGGACAACGTCTTTGAGCCAATACTCTCCTAGGATGACGATGTGCTCCTCGTAAGGGTACTTGAAAGGGTAGGGGACGCCGGTCTTGGGGTAAACAATAAGGGCACCGTACACGGTGGCCCTGAGCCAAGAAACATGAGCATGCCAGAAAAAGGTGCCCTTCTGCTTCACCATGGTGAACTCGTATGTGAAACTCTGGCCGGCTTGGATGGGACATTGGGTAATGTACGATGGACCGTCGAACCAGCAGGACAGCCTCTGCCTCACACCATGCCTGAAAATGCCCATTAATCAACAAAACAATGATGTATAGTTTGAGCATTAAAAGATGAATTCAGAAAAGAGGAGAGCTATTTCATGTTGAATAGCTGACAAAATAAACAGAATTTACCAATGAATGGTGACATTGTGTGGAGTTTCATTGGTGACCTTAACGATGATTCTATCATCTTCTTGGGCATAGACGACAGGGCCCGGGAACATATTGTTAATCGTCACAATGTCCTTTATGTTGCAGAGTTTAGTAACTCTAAGAGTTTGTACCTACATTTGCAATGAAAAGCATACTAATGTTAATCAACATGCAAAAGAACTTAGAAACAATGAAATATTGAAGTATACATTTTGAGAGAGAGACCTTGAAGTCATAGAACCTGGTGGATCCTCCTGCGGGCCAATGTTTTTTGGCATTTGCAGCGTGCAAAGAGGATACTAAGCTCGAGAATAGCAGAAACAGGATGGCTAAGTTGGCCATTTCTCGAGAGAGAGTTGGAGCGTAGGAGGAGAAGAGAGGGGATATTAATAGGGGAAAAGCATGGAGGTAAGTAGAAAAGGATTGACTAGTTGTTCAATGTGTGTGTCAGCTTTCATGTTTTGTCACGACATGGTGGTGTGATAATAAGTTGTTGGGATCTTTGGGAGGTGATTATTCAAGGTGACCCCTTTCGTGGGAAAGGGCTTGGCCAGCTTGGAGATGTGATTATTGAATGTGATGTGACCCCTTTCTTGGGGAAGGGTTTTAGCCATTTCTCTGTTTCTCCCTTTGCAACAAAAGCAGATTTTGTGTTTCCCTTTTTCCTAGTGAAAATTATGCACTTTGACTCAGAAAATTGGCCTAAAGCTCAAAATTCAAAACCCCACCACTATTATCTACTACATTGTAAGTTGAGGGATCTTGTTAATTTTTGGCATTTTCACATCAAAATTTACCCAAAAGATTAAAGAAAAACCAATGGATTTGATTGAAAGAGAAAATTTTCCAATTCAGAAAAAAAAAGGGGGTATCTGGATATTCATTTTGTAAAAGTACTTCATATTCAGACCAATTTCGACCCCGGGATGATTGTGTTCCATGGCATGGGCATTGTTAACTTCAACCTCACGCTGCATGCCTGCTTCTGAGTTCTGATCATTAACAGCTTTTCTTTTTTCTTGAATGATTTAATTTAATCCAACCCCAAAAGTAGTTCGCAGAGCAGGTGACCTAAAGAGGTCCATGCAAAGGAATTTTGACTAATTTCCTGTTAATACAGAGATTAAACAACAAAATATTCCAACTGTTGCATAGACTTTTGTTATCTCCCATTTTATTATTGTTAGACTGAAGTTTGCCTATCAACATCAGAATCTCAGACGACATTGTTGCATTGCATGCATTTATCTGCTCACGGCTGCCTAATAATGTTGTTGGAAGGAGTTCAGGCTAAAGACAAGAGGTTTAGGCCCACAGAGCTGACTCTGTTTTTTCTGTAATTGCTAAGTTAATGGAGAACCAAAGTGTAACTGACTTGAAGGAAACTGTCGTCTTTAAATAAATAGAAATGTCTTCAATTTTGCAATTCACATTTGCTAAAAAATGATAGTTTAAACTAAGAAAAACTAGAATGTCCTTACTGAATTAGGAGCGTGTAAGGACTCATTAAGCACATATGAGTCTTTTCAATCTGAATGGACATTTTTTTAACTATTCCAAACTAAAAAAGTGTGTGCATTTGGATTCATCAGTCTGTTGTATTTTTATTGTGTAATCTTAGTCTATATATGGGGGCAGGATTTTACTTCTTTTCTATCTTTTCCTTTATGATTTATTAATAAATGAAAATTTGAGGCCTGCACCACTTTCTAGTTTCTACAACCATGTTTGTCTTCATCTATGTATTCTGGAATATAAAATTTAACATCATGAATTCAAATTATTGAGTAGCATTTTCTGACAATTATGCAATCAACTAAGACTTTTTTTTTGTTTCTTCCTTTTTCATAATGATCAGAGATACAATTTATCTTCCCATGTTTCTCACTGTATTTGTATTTTTTCTTGTTTTATTTTTTAGGGTTTATTTAACAACTTGTTATTTAAATAGTTAGATTGAAGCAGGTAGTATTTGAAAAGAATCCTCTAACTTATCCAAAAATAGAAAATTAAATTATTGTTCAAGGATCAATTAGTTGAAGAGGAATCTGTTCTAGATATAATTGGCAGAATGGGAGGGAGCAAACCAACTGCTGCTGAACAAAATCTGAGGATGCTTCATCCTTTCCAGTTGCAACTTGTCTTGTAGAAGTAGCAAAGCCAAACTTGCAGAGATTACTTAGCACGTCCCATAGGGAACATCACAATGGTTAAGAGTTGAGTCTCCCTATCATCATACAGAATCAAAAAAAGAAAAAAAAAAGGGTACTCTATAGATGGTAGAAGGTTAATCTTCTTTTTCCCTTTTTTTTTTTTTTTCTTATATACTGCCATAAATTGCCAGATAAGATTTCCATAACAGAAAAAAAGAGGCATTAAAGTAGCCCAAATGCAGGAAACACCTGGCTTGGTTTGTATGGAAAACAGCTACCAGAAATTCCTCCATGGAAAGGTGCAAGAGAAGCAAAATGGCAACATTTGAATGTGAAAGCCTAGCTTCCTGGGCTTCTCCGGACCTTCCAATGATAGCACAACCTTCAAATCTCAACAGGTGATAGATATAGAAGTAACCTGCTGCACCAGAAGACAAAATTTGTTACAAACCTTTGTAACTCCCACACAGTCTCCTTTTGTTCATATATGTATCTTTAAGAGAAAGAATCGATCTTCATCTATCAAAAGATAATAACAAAATTGGCAGATGAAAAATAGTAATGTAAGCTTTACCATTTCCTTCTCTAACATTCACAGAAGGTGACATGAGAGAAGAACTAATGGCAGAGGGGCGCCTGGAGAGACAAGGCAGACTTCAGTTTCTGAGACATAGGACCTTGAAGGAGAAGCTAACAAGGCTGTATATTGTCCGTCGCTGTATCTTGTTGCTGATTTTCTGGAGAGAGCAAGAAGATGAATAGTGAATAGCATTGTAAGTTTGTCTACATGTTTACCTGTGAAATGTGAAGAAATGTTGCAGGCAGACTGCAGCTTGTCTTTCTATGCAATATCAATGTGCTTTCAATAAAATGTACCTTTGTCTCTAACAGTCAGCAGCAGTTTGTTCCTCCCTTTCTCAATTCCTATAGCTCTTGCATTTAACTATTATGTCACTTGACAAGCATCTTTCCTCTGGACTGTCCATTGAACAGAACAGCATCCTCAGTCTATTGCAGAAATTAGCAACCAATTTGTGTTCCATTTTTCTGTTTAGAACCCCCAAGTCGTCCACTTAAAACACACCAGGCCAAAAATGTTGCACAAGCATAAGCTTTAATTAACCAACTTGGAAAATCTATATCATAACTAAGGATTCCGAATCTGGATTTAGATCAAAGACCATAATGTCTTTCTACAGGAAGCATTTACAAATAATTGGCAATCAATGATATCTTTTTGTCATCTAATACAACAAAGATCTAACTTCTGCTGCTCACTTGAACGATGCCACATATTGTAACCAGATGCAAAGGCAATTTTGACAGCTAAAATTTAATCATGCACTCTTTAAAACAAAGACGGTTATTGAATTGGAGACTTCTTAACCAAAGCAAAGACAGTTATTGAATTAACATGGCATCAGTTATATTATTAGGATTGAAATCAACTAATCAATCCCCAACAAATATTGAGTTTATACATTAATTAGCAGAATAAGTAACCACTTTGGACGGTTAGAGTTTAATCATCTGGCTTTTAAGATGTAGAGAGACACAGGTGCAAACTCCCTTCAAATTAGGTGTACTCTCTGAAATCCAATCTCCAAAATTTGCCATTTCATTCAACTGAGAAAATGGCATAAAATCATAAAGCACTACTTCTCACATTTTCCTAGAAAGTCCTATAAATGAACGGCTTCCATCTTTGTCACTACAATATTTAACAAGCTGCATCGAATTACCAAGTCAAGATCCATAGGACATGCTAGAATATTTCCACAAGAAAGCTGTCCTGACTCAGAAACACAGCTCCCTTCCAAGGGGCAAAAAATGCAATGACGATGAAAATGATAACTACAGCAGGTCTATAGAAAAAGTTCACCATTAATTATGTCTTATTTCTTTTTGACACGTTAGGCCGCTTGAAGTAAGGGGAACAAATCTCACTCTTGTCATTGACTGTACAAACTCTCCCCCATAATAAGTAGCAAAAAGCTGCATGAAACTTAAAAACACAAAAACTTGGTACGCTATAGTTTTGAAAGAAATTAAATGTAAAAAGTATTTAAACCAACCAAGGAAACGGGAAAAAAACAGCTAAATAAAGTTAATTCACATTGTGTACCTGGCTTAAACAAGGTAATCAAGGTTAAGAGCCATACTGGGTTTAGCTCAAATATTAATCAAGATTCACTAATATCCATTTTGGCCATAAGACAATAATAACGAAGATTCAAGGCTTAAATTACTGAATCATGAACTATGCAGAGAAAAAAATATCATTCTACTTTTATTTTCAATGCTTTCCTTATTATATGAAAATCATATATAATACAAATATTCGGTTCAAATTTCCATTAATTTCACAAAGAAATTCAAAATAACATTAAACAACCATTAAGAAAACAGTTTAACACAAACTTAATCTACAAAAACTGTAAGGAAATGGATTCACATTAACTGAGATGAGAGACAGACAAGTAGACAAAGGCGAAAATTTTATAGAAAACCAACGAACCCCAGAGGAAGAAAGGCAGCATCAGTCATCAGATGAGGAGCTTAGAGGTGGTGGGGAGGGGGCCTGCTCCGGTGGTTGAGGTTCTTCCTGAACGACAGGCTTGGTCAACATGAAAGGACGATCGTTGGCCTCCTCTTCTTCGTCAAAGTCGTTGGTGCTGAGATTGATGCAGGAGCAGCGCTCAAGTGAGGCAAAGAATGCAGAGGCAACGCTGGTGCCGACCCAGTTGGCCATTCGATCCAACTTCTCGCATGATATGAAGCTGCAACCGGTTTCCATGGTCGGAGGATTATTAGATGAAAGTCTTCAGATAAGGTTTGGTGTTTGGAGAGAATGGCAGTTGAAAGAGAGGAGGAGGAATGGTTGGTGTCTTTGAAGCGTCGGATAAAGAAACAGAATCGTTCCTTGTGGACTTTGAAAGTGATGCTGATGCCTTGTGCCTCCACTTTTTGGCTTCGGCTTTCTTCAACGGTCCGTTTTGTCCATTGCCGTTGATTAATGTTTAGCCGGTAGATTTTTTGTGTTTTGGCCCAGTTTGTGTGGCCTTTCCACAAGCTGGACCAAACTCATTCTTAGTCCAGAATAATAAACCCATTTTTCTGCCCGGTTTGGGTAAACTTACTTGGGCTTTGTGTCTCAAAACCAATCTTTTTTCTAAGGCGATTTTAAAGCTATGTCTTATTAGTAATGGTGGTTTTTTTTTTTATATATTTTGGTTGATAATGCTTTACATATTTTTTTTTGTAGTCCGTTGTGTAAAAATGTAAATTTTTAATTTTTAATTAATTTATATATATTTTGAGATTCATATTTTACATGTTAGATTATGTATAATTTGGATATTAAAATTATTAAATTATTATTAATAAAATAACATAAAAATAATTTCATTAAAGACATTTTAATAAATTTATGAATTAAACTACACTTTTAATATATAATTTAACTTGTAAAATACCTTTTTAATATATTTTTACTAATTTTTAAATAATTAAAAAAATTTTACAATAATAACTACAAGCCAAACACAACAACACACTAACACAGGAAGCCTTAGTGAAACTATATCATCTCCATTTCTTGTGGGACCTCAGCCCAGATTTTCTTCTCGGGCCACAGATCACAGCCCAGAGACTAGACTAAGGAAATGAAACACAAAAGCAAAAAAACAAAAACAAAAAGATAATGGCAAAAACCGACATTCCGACACAAAAACAAGGGCTAAATTGTTGCACAGCCATGAGCGGGACCTTCCCATGAAGCAAACGCTCCCAAAGCAAACAAAAAGGCGCCGAAGCCATGGATTGAGTAAAGAAGAAGACTCTCCAAGCTCATGAAAGCCTGCACTCCCCCACTCCCCCCATCTTCATCCATGGATTTTTTATCTCTTTTCGTTCCCTTTTTCGTTCTGAAACTTGTCATCAAATTAAAGTATCCAAATTCCTTCATCATGAGACGTTTTCTACAAGCAACCCTCCACCACCACCACCGCCATTAATCAACCTCCTCCTCATTTTTTTCTCCCATTAAATTCTTCAGTTTCCCCTTACACTTTGCATCCCTAGACACCCCTTTGGTTCTTTACTTCTTTTCTGTCCACTGTTTACTGAATTCATCAAATTTTGTTTGAAATTCATAGCCCAATGATTCGCAACTTCATTGTCTAGTTCTTCGGGTTTATATGCGGTAGAAAGAAGCCCCTGGCTTTTTCAGTCTACTACGCAAAAACTAGAAGTCGGATACAGGGCAGTATCCAATCGGCGGCAATGCCGGCGTTATTCTCATTCAAAACCCCACCCAGTACACCGCCATTGCAAATTCTCGCGCCGGAACAGGAAAATGGTAGCACCAACAACTTCAAGAAAACCCCATCACCGCTCGTAAAGCGAAACACATCCCCCTCACCATCCATTTCACGACCCAAGAAGACCCCAGACAAGTTTCAAGACGACGAATCCTCTCTGGATAACCCGGATCTGGGTCCGTTTCTACTCAAGCTCGCCCGAGACACAATCGCTTCTGGTGATAACCCAAATAAGGCGTTGGATTACGCGACCCGGGCGTCGAAATCGTATGAGAGATGTTCGGGTCCGGGTATGGAGCTGGCCATGAGCCTCCACGTTCTGGCCGCGATTTACTGTAACATGGGGCGGTTTGAGGAGGCGGTTCCGGTTTTGGAGCGATCTATTCAGGTACTGGATATCGGAAACGGATCTGACCATGCCCTCGCAAAGTTTTCCGGGTATATGCAGCTGGGAGACACGTACTCCATGATGGGTCAGCTGGACTGCTCCATCATGTCGTACGAATCGGGTCTGAGGATCCAGATTGAAGCATTGGGGGATTCGGATCTGAGAGTTGCAGAGACTTGCAGGTGAGCTAACCCCTACCCCCCCTTATCCACTGTAGTACTTGATCATAATGGATGCATGTGCACGTTAGTTTGTTGGTAGGTCAGCTTTTAAAATGCGCCTCGTGTGAAATCTCGTTACCTTTCACCTTACCCCCCATAAAGGTAAGGAAAGATTTTCAAATAACTTTTTTATATTATTTTTTAGTATAATTTAACATATTGATTTTTTTTATTCATATAATATCGTAATATTAAATGTATTTACTCATTTAATTATATTTGTTAATTATATCAAAAGTTATATAAAAAGGTTTTTCTATAGCATCGTCAGTTGTGGCATCTGTGGAGCTGCTTGGCTCGATATTAAGCTCAAACTCTTGACGTATGAATAATTTTGGAAAGATTTTTTTATATTATTTTGGCCCCATAAACGTCAGGGAAGATTTTGAAATAATTTTTTAATATTATTTTTTTAGTATAATTTGATATATTAATATTATTTTATTTATATGACACTTATGATATTAAATTTATTTATTTATTTAATAACATATGAAAATTGTATCAACGATTATATTAAAAGGTTTTTCTATAGCATCGCCCTAAAAGTAACATTGGTTGTGGCATCTGTGGAGCCGCTTGGCTCGATGTTAAGCTCGAACTCGATTTTAATATCTATTTTGGATAATTAGAATCTCTTCTATGGATAATTGGATATTGTGTTGAAAACTCATAGGATGATGCATTGTAGGCTGATTTTGAAATTGGCAGGTACTTGGCGGAGGCGCATGTTCAAGCTATGCAATTTGATGAGGCAGAAAATCTGTGTAAGAAGACACTTGAAGTCCACAGGGAGCATAGTGAACCGGCTTCACTTGAAGAAGCAGCTGATCGCCGGCTGATGGCTCTTGTTTGCGAGGCGAAGGGGGATTATGAATCTGCCCTTGAGCATCTTGTCCTTGCTAGCATGTCAATGATTGCTAATTGCCAAGAAAATGAGGTTGCTGCTATTGATGTTAGTATTGGCAATATCTATTTGTCCCTCTGCCGGTTTGATGAGGCAGTCTTTGCTTACCAAAAGGCACTTACTGTTTTTAAATCTATTAGGGGTGAAAATCACCATTCCGTGGCTTCAGTATTTATTCGCCTTGCAGATCTGTACTGCAGGACAGGGAAGCTAAGGGAGTCCAAATCCTACTGTGAAAATGCTTTGAGGATATATGTAAATCCTATTCCTGGAACCACACCAGAGGAGATTGCTAGCGGCCTAACAGAAGTCTCAGCCATTTATGAAGCTTTGAATGAGCCTGAGGAGGCACTGAGGCTCCTTCAGAAGGCAATGAGGTTACTGGAGGACAATCCTGGGAACCGCAGCACAATTGCAGGAATAGAAGCACAGATGGGTGTGATGTTCTACATGGTTGGGAGGTTTGGGGAGGCTTGGAGCTCTTTTGAGAGTGCTATAGCAAAGCTTCGGGCTAGTGGAGAGAGTAAATCAGCCTTTTTTGGAATTGTTTTGAACCAGATGGGATTAGCAAGTCTACAACTGTACAAGATAGATGAGGCTGTGAAATTGTTTGAAGAAGCTAGGGAAGTATTAGAAAAGGAGTGTGGTTCATGTCACTTAGATACTCTTGGAGTATATAGCAACCTTGCTGCAACTTATGATGCTTTGGGGAGGTAAGCTTTCTTTCAAATTCATTACAAGCACTTTTTGATTGTTTAGCTATTCTTTTCCTGCATGGACATTTGGGAATCATCTTGCTTAGGAGCGACAAAAACAATCTTTTCAGTTCCTCTTACGGATGCCCCATAAAGCATGAACCTTACGTTGAGTAATTGATTATTGGAAATATTTATGCTATCCAAAGTGTTCTTGTGGTTTTTCACTACCTGACATGATATTTTCATGTTGCCTGGTAGGTCTATGAAATTGAACATTAACTGTTCTTACATACAGGGTTGAAGATTCAATTGAGATATTGGAATACATCCTCAAAGTGAGGGAAGAAAAGCTTGGAACCGCAAATCCTGATGTTGATGATGAAAAGAGGAGGCTAGCTGAGCTATTGAAAGAAGCAGGAAGGACAAGGAGCAAAAAGGGAAAATCACTTGAAAATCTTCTTGATGCCAGCTGCCTGAGGACGAAAAAGGAGGGCACAAAGAGGTGGTCGAAATTTGGTCTAAAAATTTAGTAATGAATGTCTTTGTGCTTTCCTTGCACTTGACTATATGCCTAACATGGAAGATTATGTAAAAATGGTCTCACTGAAGACCATCATGTTTACTGAGCTATTTGTTCCACCTGTTTAATTGGATCTATGAATTCCTGTTCAACTCTGTCAGCTGCGTCGCCTGATTGAAAACTACCGGTCTCATCTAGACTTGCAGTTGTCACGTATAAATCATAGATGGCACACTAATTCTTCTTAAATTTCCGAGGGTCTTGACCCAAAACAGTTCGAATCAAGACTAATTCAACTCTTCTTAAAAATATTCAAAACTGCACGCCAATCGGACTATTTTCAAGTCAAATGAACATCAACTTGTTAGTTACAAACTGCTTAACACTTGACAGGTGCAGATAGTTCCAAAACTGGACTATGATCCAGGGCCTGAGTTCCAGAACCGAGGAACTTTCCTGCATTCGCATTGGCAGTCAGAGCAATATTAAAAATACGAAAAACGTGTTATCTAAATGTAATGAGGTTTTAAATGTCAAACTTGGCAATGATTCTCTACATTAAGTTGCAATGACTTGAAGGATTTTCTCTGGATGACAGTGACTACGTCATTCTGTTTTGGGGAAAACCCAACTTCATCATTGTTGTTAGGTCTGCTATCCTAACGATGTTTCACAATTTTCAAGCACACCATCATCCTAATCCTGTCCTCAAGTGGCCGCCTCCCTAACTTCCCCGCACTAGCATTTGAAAATTTTGCAATTGCAGTCGCAGCCTATGAAACAAAGTCATGTGTATCTCCTCCTCCACTTCTGCACCTCTTATTTAACTCAGTTCATATGTAACACATACAGATGCAGCCCTCAAATATGGAGATGCAAGCTATGGACAGGACCAGGACCCATCAACCATGTGCTGCTTGCAGGACACTGCGCCGGAGATGTGACGAAAATTGTATACTTGGACCGTATTTTCCGAGTGATGAGATCGAGAAATTTGCCAGCGTGCATAAGATCTTTGGAGCTAGCAATGTTATCAAGATGATTCAGGTAAATGGTAGGAACCAGGAATCGGTGCTTATATATGACTAACCACAACGTTTATGAATCTAAGAACAGTTCTTTTCTTGATGGGTTGATATCAGATGGTGGAGGAGACAAAGAGGGAGGACACGGTGAAGGCTTTAGTCTATGAAGCAACAGCAAGGCTCAGGGACCCTGTGTATGGTACCACCAGAACCATTTTCCACTTGCAGAAAATGGCGGAGGAACTGAAAACTCAATTAGATTCAACCAGGGCCAAAGTTTTTGAGTTGCAGCAACAAAAAGATGAGATACTGGGCGTTCTATACCACACACATGATCCATTGTATTACGATGCCAGTTTGCAATTGAATTATGATACTGTTACGAACATGCTTTACATCGACAGCTAAACTTCTTACTGTATTTGATTTTGTTTCATGAAAAATGGTTAACATCAAATCTTCTTTTATAGAAGATTTGACTTTAGTGTTTTATTAGCTTTAAAATTATGATTTTTTTTTTTCCAAAAATAAATGTAATTGGAGCACCGTACATGAAATAAATTGCGTTTTTTTACAGGGGAATTATATTTTACAACAATAGTATGATTTTCAATTAAGAAAATCTTGCAAACACATTTGATGTTGATTTAGACAAACACAAAATTTTTATTATTAACGCTAAGGTTTATGATTCCTCAACGGTCTGAAAAGGAAATAGAGCAACGGAACCTTTAGCTGCGGAACCTTTAGCTGCGGAACTGTCCGTGGCGTAATTTCAACGGTTATGATTTACTAAGGCCAAAGAAATACAGAAATCCGCATCGTATATATATTCTCTTCTTTTGGCTTCTCTCTCAGTATTGAAACGACATGCCGGAGACAGGATCGACTTCACAAAACGCAGCTTCTCCGGTGGATCCCACCGACCACCTCCCGCTATCTCTTCTCAGATCCGACGCCATCCCGGCAGCTCCGGATCGATCGGCTTCGTCCATTGACTGGCTACCGGACTTCGCTGGTTACTCATGGGTGGCGTACGGATCCTCTACTCTTCTCGTCATCACTCACTTCCCTTCCCCGCTCTCTCAAGAAGAGACCCTAATTGGACCTATTTTCCGCCAAGTTTTCGAGCTCTCCGCCGATCCTGTCACTGCAGTTTCTTGGTCTCTAGTCACACCGTCTGTTGGCGAGCTCGCAGCCTCCTCCGGTAACTGTATTTACATCTTTTCTCATCAATCTGCAAGCTCGAATTGCAAAGGTATGTTCAGATTTTGTGCTTAGAGTAGAAGAGTGTATAATTGTGTGTATAATTGTACAACTCGTTGAATAGTTAATTCCTGCTAAAATATGTGGATATATACTTTTGAAATTTTATTTATAAATTTATGATGGCAGTTGCTGCTCCCTCCATTCTGCTCCTCTCGTCTCTATCTGTGTGGTTTGGATATCTTAAATTTGAATTTCCTTTTACTGATTCAGGTTCTTTTTGTTGGAGCCAGAATGCAGTACTTGAACAATGTGCAAAGGTTCAGGCAATCGAATGGACGGCTTCAGGGGATGGGATAGTTTCTGGTGGAATTGAGGTTGTTTTGTGGAAAAGGAGGAGCAAATCCTGGGAAATAGCTTGGAAATTCAAACCAGAACAGCCACAAAATCTAGTTTCTGCCACTTCGTCTATTGAAGGGCCTTCAGCTACAGCAGCTTACTGGAAGGAATCAGAAATTGAAGAATCTAATGAGCTAACTAAATCTGTTGTTGTTTGTTATGGTGATGGGAACTCTGGATATGCAAAAGTTATGCTAAGTCATCCCCAACCCATCTCAATGATTCAGTGGAGGCCATCAACAGGGGAACAATCATGTAGAGATGTAAAACATCTGCCAAGGCACATATTACTTACATGCTGCTTAGATGGAACTGTGAGGTTATGGAGTGAGGTAGATGGTGGAAGAGTCAAAAAGGTTGGCAAGGATAGTGCTAATGATCAAAAAAGCATCAGGCAATCTTTTTGTGTTGCTGCTGTAATAGAGATAAATCAGGAATTGAATGGAATTCTAGGAGTGGATATATCTTTGACATGGGCAATAGAAATTGGTGGTATAATTAAAACCAGCAAAGGAACTAACCAATTTTTCAATGTGGGAGAATATAAGCATGACATGACTGGCGGATGTGAATGGTTAATTGGGTTAGGTCCTGGAGCGTTGGTTACTTTTTGGGCCATCCACTGTCTTGATGACATATCACCAATGAGGTTCCCTCGAGTAAAATTGTGGAAGAGACGGGAACAGAAGGGCCTGGAAGTTGGATTGTCAAATTTTAAAGACCAATTGCTTCTTAAAAAGGTTTTTATTATGAGAAATTGCTTGTCTGGACCACCAGCTTTATGTTCTTTGCTTCATTTATTACCTTGCAAATCTCTGTCCTTGTCTGTGTTGTATACAGAAAAATCAAATGATGTTATAGATGCATCTCCTAATGAATCTAGAGCAGAGAACTTGTCACACTCAGTATGTGGTGTTTTAAATATGGATGGTCATACTGGAAAAATTTTGCAAGTTGCTGTACATCCTTATGTTGATGAAGTTCAATTGACTGTTTCTTTGGATTCTAGTGGACTGCTGCTGTTTTGGTCATCATCTTCCCTTTCCAACAATATTCTTAGCCTTCCAACATTGATTCCCACATGGAAATTTTGTGGAAAACTTGCAACTGGTGGTTCATGTTCTAAATATACAAGCTTGAGGTGGGCACCTTCAGTATTGGATGAAGACCGAATTCTTCTTTTGGGACATTCTCAAGGAATTGACTGCTTTATAGTAAAGATTTCTAAAAGTAAAGAAAATGGCATAGCATGTCACTATGTGTGCACTGTGCCTTTTGCAGGTCAAGGTTTTCAGGATGGTCCTGCTGATATCTATTCAATACCATTGTCTCCATCTTGTAAGCAAACATTCATGTATAATAGATTTATGCTTTTGGGGATATGGATGAGAGGTTTTCAGGCTCTATCCTGGGAAATCACCATTCATTCTTATGATCTAGGGGGAAGCTTCTGTGAATGCAATTTTGATGATAATATAGCTGTTCAATGCAGCAGCACATTGAAAATTGAAGATGAGTTTGCTGGGAGAAGATATTGTCTGCTTGTTAATTCTTTGTCTTCACAGTTGCCTGAACCTCATAACAATGATCAGGTTACAAGTTTTGCTGTGATCTTTCCAGGTGGTTTGACCCCTGTACATCAAAAGTTAGCTTTTAATAGTGATCCATGTAGTGAAAGTCCTGCATATACCATGGCCACTGGCTGTTCTGATGGCAGTTTAAAACTTTGGAGATGTAATTGCAGTAAATTGCCAACTTCTCACACACAATGGGAGCTAGTGGGTATGTTTGTTGCACATCATGGTCCTGTAAGTGCTATATGTTTGACTGATTGTGGTAGAAAGATTGCGACTATCTCCAAGGATAATCAGTCAAGTTCAGCTGCTACTTGCACTCTGTGTATATGGGACTCTATACACCTTGCTGACTCAGGGAGTTTCTTGCTGGAAGATACATTATCCCTTGATAGAGATGTTGTTGCTTTAAATTGGTTAGCTCTAGGAAATGGACAGTTAGTACTTGGAGTTTGCTTGAAGAGTGAACTGCAGATATATGCTCTGAGGCATTTTAGTAGTCAGGCTTTGTTCAACTCTAAAAATTCTTTGGAAACACACCTTTGGTTTTGCATTGCGGTTGGTCATACTTCCCCTGATATCCATAATTTCTTATGGGGGCCTGGAGCGGCAGCAGTGGTTGTCCATACTAGTTACTTAAGTATATTCAGTCCGTGGCTATTTCTTTTAGATAAGAAATGTTGGGCTAAATCTTATCCATATCAATTCAAGGAAAACCTTATTGATTGTGAAGGTGTGATGGCTAGAGTATTCAGTGATTCTGATGTTTGTTATCTTTAAAGTTAAGTCTGGACCTATTCAGAAAATTGAAATAAAAAATAACCACCCATCTAAAACTTTATTTGCAGGAGGAGCTCAGCTGAAATGTCAATCAGATCTCATTCTTGGTTTCTGGAGCATGGTAGACATAGCAGAGATATTATGGAGATCTTTGCCTGTGTATCACCCTGAGGCACTCTTCTTAAATATTTATTCAGGTAATTTTTCCTACTAGTTAGTTAGTGAAATGCCAATGCTTTGTTTTATTTTCTGTTGATTTTAATCATATGTTGGGTTTATAAATGCTAAGGTTTGATCATGTCCTGTGTTAATAATAAATTTTCATCTTAGATGCTTATATGAAGAAGATTACGGTTTATGCATTGTTTTTCCTCATCTTATTTCATTGTATTTGTTCCAAGTTCTAACTACTTCCTAGTATCTGCTACTCATGGATAAAGGCTGTAATGTTTTGCAGAACTTGCTCTAAGGTTGTGAGTTTAATATTAATTCAATAAAGATTATCTTTTACAGGCTAAAGGAGCCAATTCAAAGGTTTTATTAAGATGCATTACACAAGCACAATGTCTTCCAAACTCTATTTGTGTGCAAAACATTTCTAATTTTTATTGTTTGATATTTATTAATGGCCCTTAATGGAACTTGAACAGGATATTATTTGCTTTGCAAAAAGGATTTTGATTCATTAAAAAAATAAAAGTGGAAGACTATGGAACAGCTACGTTCTGAAAAGCAAGTAATATTTTCCTTACTGAAACAAAAAGTTTAGTTTCAATAGTTTGTTTAGCAAGTATAAAATTACATCATTGTGGGACATGACACTTAAAATTCTGAATTGAAGCTGTTCTGTAGAGTCAGCTAAAAACTGACATCCCTGTCAACTTCTGTTTTGAATATGAGGCCTCAATTTTGGATGTAGACCTGTGAAATCCCTTGTTTCTATTTTTTTTTGGAAGATATTCTTTGAGTAAGCTAATATTGTGTTATTTAAAGCCTGTTATCTTAAATTGTTTAGGCAATTGGAAACGTGCACATGCATCTCTGAGGCATCTAGTCGAATATCTTACTTCTAATTATGCTTCTAAAAGGAGAGATTGCAGTTCAAAGGGTAGTTCTACTGTTCCACAGATGCTTCTGTCAGATTACTTTGAAGGGCTTTACTTTAAAAGTTCAAATGAGAATGGATTTCAGTGGAGTGGGAATGCTACGTTGATGATGTCATCTTCACAGTATCAAAGTGGCTTGATGCAATTTGCTTATAATTCAGCACCCAATTCTTCTAACAATATCTTCAGTTCATCTTCAACAAAACCTGAACTTGGCAACTTTCTTGAGCCTCTGGAGAAGTTGCATGAGTTGGCAGCTGTAACCAACACAGAGAAGATGCAAATTCTTACAATTATAGACCTTCTAAATGAAGTTAGTAATCCACACTCTGCTTCTGCCTATGGAAATCTGGATGAACCAGGCCGAAGGTAACCCTGGACCTCAGTTGTGCTTTTCCCGGTTTTGTAGTGTTCTATGGGATTTATGGAAGTTGGAAGATGTAGTGATGTTAATGTTGTCTAACTCCACCTATGGGGTAGGGTGAGATGGGAATGGCTTTTTAGTTCAAAAAGTTTTGCTTATCACCCAGGAAAAGAAGATTAAAAAAGAAGAAGAAGAAGAAGAAGAAATTTCTATGCTGTTTTTGTGTTTGGCTAGGAAGTCCAAGGCAATAGGTTTTCTCAACACATTGTCCTGTTGCTGGATGCAATGGACCTCAAAAATGGGTATTTGCTAAATAAATGAAGGCACTGATTCACAAAATAGTTCATTATTATGTTAAAATCAAATAAAATCAGAATACATTTGCATTCCATGTTTGTAGACTTGGAGCTTGTTAAGAAAGTGTTGCAGGCAGTGCTTTCTCAGCTTGCATAACCACTTATGACAATGTGCACCTTTTCTTCTCCCTTATATATAAGCCAATAGTCATTTTTGGACTATGCATATCTGAGTCTGCTCTAATATATAAAAGGCTTGTGATGAGATGAAGAAGTAGTTAAATTGGAGCCATCAGGAACAGAAGTTTGAGAATTCCTTTGGCTGTTTATTGAAAGAAAATGTAGATGGTCATAACTATGGTACCACATTCTATTCACATTAACTAATGGGGCAGTGCTTAATTTTATTATTTTCCTGTTGGCATGATTCTGAAATTTGTGGTGATTGTTGCCTGACCATGTTTTTGTATTTATTGTCTCTAAGGTGCTTCAAGCATCCCTTGCCCCCTTTGCAGTATATATATTCCTGTGTTGGAATTATGTTGTTGATATTCATCTTTTATATATATCTCTTGAAGGTTCTGGGTCACAATAAGGTTTCAGCAACTACATTTTTCTAGAAGGTTTGGTAGATCAGCATCTTTGGAAGAGTTGGTCATTGACTCAGGGCTTATAGCCTGGGCATCCCACTCTGATTGCCAGGAAAGTTTGTTTGCTTCTATTCTACCTAATGAACCAACATGGCAAGAAATGCGGAATTTGGGTGTTGGATTTTGGTTTAGTAATGCAATACAACTACGCACAAGGGTAATTATTAAATGTTCTTATGTTAACTTGTTTTCCTTCACTATATGAAGAAAGCTACAGAACTCTTTTGTGATTACAGAAGGGGATTCTGTAATCTTTCGCCACAATATTTTGTTTTCCATAACCATAATGTCTGTTTTAGCCTGACACCAATTATTCTTTGTCGTGGCATGGTCTGTATCCATCTTTAACAGTAAATTTCTGAAAAGAACTTGAAAGCAAGGATCTTGTTCGGCCAAATGGTCATAGAGATTCTCTTTGTAGTTACATCCCTTGGAGATGGTCCTAGTACAATCAGATTGACATGATTCTAATATTCTCATTGTATGCCAATTTTTGTTAGCATATGGTTTTATTACACCCCATGATCCATGTAAAAGTTGGAGGGCGAGTGAATTACTCATCCTGCCAAAAATTTTCTGTTGGTGGCTTGTTAATGAGTAACTTCAAAGCCAACAATTGATATTACATTGGAGTTATGAAAGTAAAACATGTGGCCCATGGATCACAGCAATATGTACCAACTGTTTCACAAGCATTGCCTCCTTCTTCCTGTTGTCTTTCTTCTCTCCTGCATATCTCTTAATCAGTTTTGGTGCTTCTGATTTCTAGATGGAGAAACTGGCAAGGTTGCAGTATCTAAAGAAGAAAGATCCTAAGGATTGTACACTTTTGTATGTAGCATTGAATAGACTTCAAGTTTTGTCTGGTCTTTTTAAAATCAGCAAGGATGAGAAGGATAAACCCTTGGTGGGATTTCTTTCACGCAATTTTCAGGTAAATTGTGTGTTTTAATTTATTTCCAATGTCTTTTCTTGAAGAATCTATTCATGGTTATCAGTACGTATCACAGACAACATACTTTACCTACATTGGTTATTATTACAGGAGGAGAAAAACAAGGAAGCAGCTTTAAAAAATGCTTATGTCTTGATGGGTAGACATCAGCTAGAGCTAGCTATTGCGTTTTTCCTACTTGGAGGTGATGCTTCTTCTGCAGTTACCATTTGTGTGAAGAACCTTGGAGATGAACAGCTAGCACTAGTAATTTGCCGGCTTGTTGAGGGCCGTGGTGGACCATTAGAACATCAGTTGATTACAAAGTTTATACTTCCATCTGCAATTGATAGAGGAGACTATTGGCTTGCAAGCCTTCTGGAGGTCTGTAGAAAACAAACTCTTGAATTTTCACGAGATATCTTGATAGCTGCACATTCAACATATTTTTTGCTTCAGATGAAATATAAAATAACTAATAATGACCCTTTTGGTTTGCAGTGGGAATTGGGGAATTACTTTCAATCTTATATCACAATGCTTGGTTTCCAAGGGGTTTCTGCCATTGCCACAACCACTCTTTCATGCAACCATGTTGCTTTTAAGGACCCCAGTATAGGCCTGTATTGCTTTGCTCTAGCCAACAAAAATAGCATGAGGAATGCTATTGGGGATCAGAATGCAGTGGTTCTTGCTAAATGGGCATCGCTGATGAATGCTACTGCCCTAAGCAGATCTGGGCTTCCTGTAAGTTCATTTTACAGCCCATGTGATTGGTTGTTGTTAAATTTAGGGTAATATTATTTTTGTATGAGTTGTTTATTTAGGTTTAGCCTGTCATTTTCTTGCTTGTTTATCCTGAAATTTCATATTCATGCCCATATGATGCCACTCAGGCTCTGTCCAGATAATAATACTGTTACAGAAAAGTCCTTTCTGGCTTGACTTTTTTGCCTCATAAATGGACCCAACAACCCTAGTCTTTTTGAGGCCTTTTGGATTTATAAGGTCCCTTCTTAAGTCTCCAAAATTTGCTTAGAAAACTAAAGATCTATATGATTTTAGTTTATGATTTAACTTTCTGTACTTCTGTATAGCTTTAAATGCAGTTAGCAATTGGATTTCCTTATATTTGATATTATGATTGACCTTCTTGCATTCAAGTACACATGCATGTGTGTTAGCATGTACTGCTTCTGCTTGAGTGCAAGTCACCAATTAGTTAATTTGAAAATATAATTGACCTTTCTCTTTGATGTCTCATTTTTAGCTCGAAGCTTTGGAGTGTCTTTCATCTTCTCAGAGCATTCTTAAGGGTACAGATCAAGAGAACACATCAGATCTCGGATGTTCAAAAATTCTACAAGCAATTCTGAAGCCTTCAGCTAGTGATTCCTCTAACTGGTTGTTGGATGATGTGGCTTCAAATTTAGAGTCACATGCTAAATTAGACTTGGCACTCCAGTATATCTCAAAATTGATAAGAGAGCATCCTAGTTGGCCTGACAGTTATCTAGGATCTTCTGATTCTGATGGAACTAGCATGTCTTACGAGGATGATGAGATTCATCAATATGAGAAATTGCTCAAGAATTTTCAATATAAACTATACACAGGCCTTGCACAGTTTGAGCAGAAACATTCTTTGGTTTCTTCTCGCCTAATTAACATGGTATTTAGTTCATATTTGACTCATCTAATTGATTTGTCCTACTTTTTAACTGTTCTCTAGTTTGAGTTCGTTTTTATTTCTTCCCATCTTTCAGGCCTTGGTCTCATTGTGCAACAATGGGCTATGGTTCCTTGGGTATGATATTTTATATGGATGTCTTTCTCAAGGTCAGTCACAACATGAGAATCATACAGTTGACAGTTCACTCTTGTATCTGCTTTTCAATAAGCCACTTCTCAAGGCAGCTGAAGATATCTCCTTTTTGTTTTCACATTTTATTGCTGCATGTGGCATGTCTTGCCCCACATCAAACTCTTCATATTTTGAGAATGATTTGTCTGGTGAAGTTTCTTCCAAATGGTTCAAAGCTCTGGGTTATTACTTTCAAGGGGTCAAACATTCATTATGGAGTTTAAGAGCTGCAATAAAGATTTTCTTTGGCATGTATAAGAAGGATTCCATCCTGAAAATCCTGACTATTCTTGATCTATATGAATATTATGCACATTATGCTTCTGCTTGGCTTCAGAGAAACTCGAAAGGTCTCATGCTGATGGTGAAACCCCTCTTGATTACTTGTACTAATGGGCATACTCCTTATGAAGTTGATATGTTGAATATGAAGAAACTTTTTCATCAGGTTTCAGATGTGGTGTTTCAGAATAGATTGGTTGAGGATGTAGTTTTTGATGCCAAGCAAGGTGGAGACCTACCACTTTCAATTCCAGAAGATGAGAGATGGGCTATTATAGGGGCTTGTTTGTGGCAGCACATGTCCCTATTCATGAAACACACATTGTCTTCAATATCTATGAGTCTTGATGAAAATTATCCTTCTGATCTTTTTCATGGAAAACTTTCTACATGGGTGCCATTTTCAGCAAATTCTGAATCGGATAGCAACATAATAGCTGAAAAGCTCAGGTTTCTATCATGGATAATGGCAGTAGTTCTAAAAACTGCACTCCAACATATTTCGTCTTATCACATAATACAACTTGCTTTGGTACTGCAACAAAAATTAGAGAATGGATTTGACCCCAGCACCCTTGTATGGTTAGAAGAATCTAAACCATCGCCTAGTGCCATGTATCGGCATCAAAGTCAGGGCACTGTCAACGGAGACATAACTAACAACACTGATGGAGGTTCCATTTCTAAAATCTTATGGGATACATGTGCTGATCCTAATATCATATCTGAATGTTTTGTGCAAGAAAAGATAAATTGGTCTTGTTGTTTTCATCTTAGGCCTGTCAAAGGATGGAGTGACTTGTACAAAAGCATTATGGGTGAGCATGAAACTGATGAATGGAATAAAAATGAAGGCAGGCTAAGCAATAGCTCTGCCAGTTCTGAAGTTGGATCACCTTCTAGGACTGTGTTTCGAAATGGCCATACTTTAGTAAGTTCCTGGCAGAAAGATTCAAAAATTGAAAAGGAGATCTCACTTTTCCATCATCCTAAAGAAGTTTACAAGAGAAATGGGGAGCTTTTGGAGGTAATAGCCTCTTTTGTTTTCTTTCCTATCCCCCAATTTTTTAACTTTTATTTGTCTTGTATAACCAAATCATCTTTGCACAGGCATTGTGTGTCAACTCCATTGATCAACAGCAAACTGCAATTGCAAGCAATAGAAAGGTCAATGACTAGACATTAAATCCTTAAAAATTGTGATAATGTGTTACATGTATAAAGAATACTTAATATCTGATCATGTCTTTTTCAGGGCATTATTTTCTTTAACTGGGAAGATCTTATGCCTTTCACAAACCAATCAGACTACATATGGTCAGATGCTGATTGGCCACAAAATGGATGGGCTGGTTCTGAGTCAACCCCAGTTCCAACACGTGTGCCTCTTGGTGCTGATCTTGGGAGCAAGAAAGGAGCACACCTTGGCTTGGGTGGGCCAACGGTTGGTGTGGGTTCAGTGGCTAGACCAGGGAGAGACTTAACAGGTGGTGGAGCATTTGGAGTTCCAGGTTATGCTGGTATTGGGGCCTCTGGCTTAGGCTGGGTGATACAGGAAGACTTTGATGAGTTTGTTGATCCACCAGCTACTGTGGAAAATATAAGTACAAGAGCATTCTCCAGTCACCCAAATAGACCTTTCTTCTTGGTTGGCTCTATCAACACACACATTTATTTATGGGAGGTATGGAACTTTAACAGTCAAAACATACTGGATTCCATGACCGTAATGTATGCAATATTTCTACAAATGCTAGATAATGGATTGGTCATATATTAGTTTTAGCTTTTGGTAACTGCAAGTATGAATCATTATCATTATTTTCTCTTGCTCTCAATTAGTGTGAGCTGATGTAGAATGATAAATGCAGTTTGGCAAGGACAAAGCAACAGCAACTTATGGAGTGCTGCCTGCCCCTAATGTTCCTCCACCTTACGCTCTTGCATCAGTATCAGCTGTGCAGTTTGACCACTGTGGACACAGATTTGCTACTGCAGCTCTAGATGGAACAGTCTGCACATGGCAACTGGAGGTGGGAGGAAGAAGCAACATCCGTCCAACAGAATCATCTTTCTGCTTCACTAGCCATGCATCGTATGTATTTGTTCTTCATAATTTGCAGAGCAACTCCTTGCTTTACTTTGTAATCTGTGTTTGCAATTACATTGTGTTGGCTTATAGATATTCTAGTGTGTGCTTTGTACTTCTAATTAGTTTCAAACTTTCAATAAATTATTGAAGTATTTTCAATGATGCAGGGATGTCAGTTATGTTAGTTCAAGTGGATCAGTTATTGCTGCAGCTGGATATAGCTCCAATGGTGTTAATGTGGTTATATGGGATACTTTGGCTCCTCCTGCAACCTCTCGAGCTTCAATTATTTGCCATGATGGTAAGAATTTTATTGAACATCTTACCGTGAAGGTGGAATTGATGAATTTACATTCGAGTTTTTGTTCTTTCCTTTGAATATGGATTTTAATTAGTGTGATAGGACGAATAAAACAGGAAAATAGTAGAACTTAAACTCATTGCCTGATTCGGCAGGACTGGAGTTTAAATCAAAATTTGACTAACTGGTAGAGTAGCAAGAAATGTGTTACATTGCTGAAAGTATCAACTTTCTTGTTAATTTTATGGTTATAGAGCTGGAACATATAGTTTCCTAATATAACATTTATTCACGTTTTACTGGCTGACAGTCTAATGCATTTCTTGATAATTTCCAACTTATTCTGAGTGTAACCTTTTGCTTCTATGCATGAAGGTGGTGCCCGCTCCATTTCTGTGTTTGATAATGACATTGGAAGTGGTTCTGTTTCTCCCATTATTGTGACTGGCGGTAAAAGTGGTGATGTTGGACTTCATGACTTCCGGTACATAGCTACTGGAAGAACCAAAAGGCACAGGCACCTTGACACTGGTGAACCAAGCAGCAAAACGTCTGGTTCAGACACACAGAACCAAATCTCAGACAAGAATCTGAATGGAATGCTATGGTACATACCAAAGGCTCACTCAGGTACATACTTTCTCCCTGAATCTGAACCACTTACGAACTGTCAACTTCTTGTATAGTCTTTATAACATATGATCTCAATGTAGGGAGTATCACCAAGATATCTACCATACCAAATACCAGTTTGTTCTTAACGGGAAGCAAAGATGGTGATGTTAAACTCTGGGATGCCAAAACAGCCAAGATGGTGTATCATTGGTCAAAATTGCACGACAGACACACCTTTTTACAACCAAGCTCCCGTGGTTTTGGTGGTGTTGTCCGGGTAATCATCTGTTATCCGTTACACAAACTTAGTACTTTTGTTGAAAACCATATATTACTTTCTGCTCCATGCCTGTACTAAATCAGTGGCTTATACCAAATGTCACAGGCTGCTGTTACCGACGTACGACTTGTATCGCATGGTTTTCTTTCATGCGGTGGGGACGGCTCCGTAAAGCTGGTTCAGCTCAAAGATCATCTGCATTGGACATGAGAGTTAAACCAAGTTTCTTCTGATCCAGTGCAGAAATCATCTCTCAGATCCGTAAAGAGTGAAATTTAACTGAGATTCCATGGAAGCTCCACAAGTTTTCCTCCATGGATGGAGCTCGTGGGAGGTAAATAGCAATTTTCTGTACTAATCAAAATAGATAGAAAATACCTGGTTGCGTAACTAGAGCAACCAAATGCTCTGCGTCTCCAGTGCAATACTCCAGCTTCTAGTTTTTTCGTGTAACATCATTGTGATTCTTGCGTGTACATAACTATGAATTTTCGTTTGTTGGGAATGTTTGTTAATTATAAACTCTTATAATATAATGATATACAGTAATTTCTATTGGGTGATTTTTCAAATTAAATACTCAATATTTAAAAGCCTCATTAATCGTTAATTAATTTTAAGTTAAAAGAGGTTGAATTTTATAAAAAAAAAAATTCTCTTAATAGTTATTTTTTTTATTTGAACCGTTAGTTTGTTAGGGTCTATACTTAGTGGAACTTGCCAGTTCACTTGCAACCATTACAAAAGTGGGGGAAATGACTAGAAATCCACGTGCCATAGGGTTGCTACATTTTGCCGCCTTCTAGTCTCATCTTGAAAGTTGAAACTTGAAAATGCAAAAAAACTACCATTAAGAACAGCAGAAATGTGTTCGTCATACTTTACAATCTCAACTATTAATGAGAGGGGCTTTGTAAATGTGGGGTCATGAAGTGCCTATTTGCCCAACAGAATTTTTTTATTAACAACTGGACTTCTAGGTCTCAATTTTGGGTGAGAAAACTCATTGCTTCTACTCCTACACAATCACAATCCAAGCGACGAGAAACCAGGGGCACACGCTGTATTCTGCTTGCACTTTGTACCTCCTTTCAGGTTCACTTAATCTCCAAATTATCTGATTTTAAAAACCACTGCTATTGACTCATGCCCATCCCCGTTTTGTATTTTTTTTTCCGAAAGAAAGTTGAAAAATATCGTAAAACCCTCATATTCACTCTTTAATGAAAAGGGTAGGGACAGATCTATTTTTTAAAAGATATAGAAATAAATTATAATTTTAAATTATAAATTAAAACAAATCACTTATTTTTTAATATATTCTATCAATTTTTCGTTAAAAAATATTTACATAACAAATAAAATGTTAAAAAATAAGTTATTTGTCTCGATTCATAATTTGAAGGGTAATTTTTCTTTATATTTTTTTGAAGAACAAATATGTCCCTACTCCTTATTTGAGATGTGGATTTGAGAGTTCTGTCATGTATTTTCTCCACAAAAAAATTGTTTTTCTAATATGGATTTTTTTTTTATAATTTGAGTATTAAAATTACGTAAATATCCTTAATAAAATAACTCTCTAAATTTATTCATTAATGATATTTTTATAATTTCAATATCTGAATTATATAAAAAACATATAGTCCATATTAAAAAAACATATTTCTCTTTTCTTGAACTTAATTTGGTAGAAAAATAATTTCTTAAAAATATATATTAACAATTAAATCTCACACTATGATATGATACAATTTTTATTAACTATTTTCATTTAAGAAAATACATAATATTATATATTTATTAATTTAATAATATATAAAAGTTATAAAATTTATACTAAATAAATTTTCATTATCTATCTTAAAAGGAAAAAAGAAAATCCATAAAAAAAAAAAGCAAAAGGAAAAAAGAAAAATACTACAATCATAGCTACGTGAGATATGCTGTTGGGTTGAAAGTTAGAACTTGGGAAATGCCGAGGGGGTGGTTGGAAATAGACCCCAGATTTTTTTACGTTTTTCTTCCTACTTGGCCCAATCTACAGGCTCCTGAATCTACACCAACGTAGCAGCTCTTATCTTTTCGGGTGAATTGGGACCCACCACCGCCCCTCACCCCTACCCCTAGATCATCCCATTCACAGCCACGTGTTCATCAATCAACTTCCCCGGGAAATTCACCACCCCTAGATTAATCTCACGGCAACTGTTCATCAGAAATCAAACCAGCAACGCCGCCGCCGTTGGAGACATGACTTTGTCTCAACTCTCAAGTGGTGGTTTGGACTTTGGAGGTTGAACAGGTTGAGACTCTACAATTTGAGTGAAAATGTGCAAGTAAATAATAAGAAAATGGGTAATCTAATAAGGTGATTTAGGCAAATAACCTAAATAGTTAAATTATTGTCACCTTACATTAAGAATAAGATATCTTGATTTTGAGTGCGTGACATATGAGTGGTGAGTAATAAAAAATGAGAGATAATTAATTTTTATTGTATAATTAAAATAAAAAAAATAAAATAATTTAATGGTTAAAAATTTAAAATTTAAACATCGAGTTAAACAAAAAAAATTTAAGAATAAAAGAAAGATTATATTTTTTATATAATTCACGATAAGATATGTTAAAAAAATATTTTAAAAAAGTTACTTTTTTATAACTTTATCATGTGTTCAAGAAAAAGGAAAGCAGAAAACGCCGCCGTTTCACCTCATTCCCCCCCAGTTTTTACCGCTGGCCAGGCTGAATTGAAAAAAGGCTTGCCCCTTGCAAAAGAGGACACGAGAATGAATGATGATGACTGAAAAAGCCTTACACCAAAACCCACCAGTCCTCGTCACTCTTCTGCTCTTTGATTCATCCGCTCTTATTTTATTTTTTCCCTTTCTGAAGTAAAAGGTTTCGTTTACTCCTGCTAGCTTCTGGGTTCTGTTTAGATCTGCGCCAAATTCATTTTCCCATCACCATTCAATCTTTCTTCTGTCTGGGTTTGTGCTCTTCCCCTTCACTTGGTTTCAATCTTGTGTTTTTACTGATAAAGGATTCAACTTTCTGGTTTTCTGGTTACTGGGTATCTGTGGTTGGTGAAAATATTTTAGATTATCTTCTTTGTTTCATGCACCCTTTGTCATTTTATGGGATTTAGTTGTTGAGATGCCTGAATTATGAGCCTTTGTTAATTATTTTTTACTGTATTGTATAATTTTCTTTAGCATATCATGACTGTTAATTGGGGTTTTTTCAGTTACCAATAGATTTGTGTGGTTGTTTGTTCCTTCTTGTTGACAATGAATATGTAAGTTATTTCTTTGAGTTTTTGTTCTGAGCTGGTTTTTGTTATATTTGTTATTTTAATGACAAAGTTTGGGGTGGTTGAGATTAAGTTCATGAATTTGCATTGCTGTTTTATTTAATCTTGTTGATCTTTTACCATGTGTTTGCTTTTATCAATTTTTAAGAGGGCATCTGACCTCTTTCAGAAGCTAAAAATTGGTGCCTTGGGGCATGAATCTGTAAATATTGATTGAGTGTAATCATAACTTAGAAGTTCATTCTATGTTTCTCCACATATTCCCCTTTATGAACACGGGAAGATGGCTGGCTGGGAATCCGTTGATTAGCATTTTGGAAAAGTGTGCTGCCTTTGTAATTATGTTTTGCTGGAGTTATGATCCAAAAACAAGTCTGATTAATGCATTTACTTCACAGATGCTCTAGTGCCTATATTTCTTTCTCTCTTTTTTTTAATATCTAGGTATCTTCTTTTAGTATTCTTGGAGGGGGTTTCTGGATTGATCTTTTCTTCCTAGGACTAGGATGCTCTTATGTTTATTGAGGTTGCTTGATTCTTGGATGTCAGATGTCTTTCTTGGGCGTGCAGCAATTTTGCTTAATTCCCCTTGATTGAAGTATATATAAAGTATTTGTAATGATTTGATTTCTGTAGTCTGCTTAAGTTTATTCTTTATTCAGTAACATAATTCATAGTGTTCCTTCCCCTTTTGCCTTGGTAACTAGTGGTTTTTGTACAGCTAAATGCATCGAAGAAGACCTGTTTTGTGATGGCAGCAGCTGAAGCTAGAGCTCTGTGGCAGAGAACTGCTAATCGTTGTTTTGTCCAGGAAGATGCCAAAAGAGCTCCCAAGTTAGCCTGCTGCCAATCATCAGCTACATCATCCAAACAGTCTGATTCTGGCCCCACAGGTGTGGCAGATGCTTCAGATCATCCTGTGGTGGGTATCATGCCTCTCAATTGGAACCCTTCCCATGCCAATCTTCCACCTGACACAAAGTGGTGGCTTCAATCACAACCTTGCTATGGGTACCATAAGGGCTTAACGCATGATGAGTTAATTGCATTCGAGAGTGAAATAGAAAGATCAAAAGCTGGCATTGCAGACCCGTCATCTATAGAGAGAAGAGAAAACCCACCACATAACATAGATGCTGCTGGTGTTGACAGAATAAAGTTCAATGACTTTCCTCTTGATGTGCAGTACGTAGCCTCTTCCATTGAAACAGATAGAGACATTGCAGTTAGAAAGCAAGAGTTCAAGTGTTTCTCTAGTAAGACCACCCAAGAATTTCTTGAATTAACAGACACAGGGAAGAACTGTGAATTGGAGATGGAACCAGTAGAGTTCCCAGTTTCCAAAAACCCCCATGAATCCTCCTTTGATCCAGAATCTCCCTGGGTTGGGGGTTACAAGACTGAGCCATGGTGGCGCACAACAGATAAAGATGAACTCGCCTCCTTGGTTGCACAGAAGTCCCTAGACCATATTGAGAATTGTGACCTTCCCCCACCCCAGAAGATGCACTCTAGGAGATATCAACATGCTTCTTCTGAATGTTTTGAATGTGATGAAGCTTCATCTTTAGATTGGAAGGCTCAGACTGGTTGCATCACTAGTCCAATGGTTAATGCCTTGGTCTCTCCAGATTCTTCAGGTTTACAAACAAGACAGAGGGCATCAGTTGAAGTAGGAAATGCACATGCACAGGGTTTTTCTGACAGATCCTCAAGGTATGCATCTAGATCACGCCTCTTTGAGTGCTTCCTGGTTTTATTCATTTTTAATATGAAATGTTTAAGAATGCTTAAATAAGAAAGGTATATTGGAATGAATTCTTAGATGAACATTTTTCTGAATCTGTTTCTAACCAATAATAGAGAATAAGAACTGTCATTAATTTGTCCATGAACCATGAGATTCAATATTGGTCAACTTTTGTTTTCTTTTTTTTCTTTTTTTCTTTTTTTTCTTTTTTTTTTGTGACTTGATTTCTCAAAAATGTTGTAGCACAACCCAGAAGGATATTTTGGAAACACAGGTGGTTGGGATTGATCCTACCAAGTCTCAGCTATTAGAAGCACTCTGCCACTCACAAACGCGTGCAAGAGAAGCTGAGAATGCAGCAAAGCAAGCACATGCTGAGAAAGAGCATGTCATCCAGCTCTTCTTTAGACAAGCCTCACAGCTCTTTGCCTATAAGCAGTGGCTCCAAATCCTACAGTTAGAAGCCTTTTACTTCCATATCAAGCACAATGAGCAGCCAATATCCACTTTCTTCCCTGCAGTCCTTCCATGGGTGCCTTACAAAGGTAAGGTATTGCGGAAGAGCTGCCAAAAGGGTAAACAAAGGAAGCAAGTGCGACCTAGACCGGACATAACCAAGTACACCGTTGCCTTTGCATTGGGGTTGAGTCTTGTTGGTGCAGGATTGCTGCTGGGATGGACTGTGGGGTGGATGTTGCCTTTCTAGACTACAATTTGTGGGTTGAATGAAACTCCAAGCTGCCGTGAAGATTCATTTATGTTGGAAATGGTTGAATTAAATTCATTTTCTATATGAATGTGAAAATTTTATTCATCTTTCTACACCCTGTATCGAATTTAGCCTGTTGATAGTTTGTTGTTCTCGGAAGCTGTGTGGTTAGTGTACAAATGAATGATATGATGGGGTTTTGTGTATATGTATTTGGTTGAAAATGTGGTGAGAACAAACCAATAATATCTCATTGAATTCCGATTCCTTTTTGAAGGATCTACATAACTCGCTTTTGTGGATTGTGGTGTACCTATTTTTAGTTTCTGCTTCCTTTTTCTCTTAACCCAATGATCATATCAAATGATGGTGGAATTTAATTGAAG